GCATCAAAAATAATAAAACACTGGGGTGCCTGGGTGGGTCAATTGGTTAAGCGTCCGCCTTTGGCTCAGGTCATGATTCCGGGGTCCTGGGATCGAGCCCCTGCATTGAGCTCCCTGCTCAGCGGGGAGCCTGCTTCTCTCTCTCCCTCTGCCTCTCCCCCAGCTTGCCCTCCCTCTCTCAAATAAATAAACAAAATCTTTAAAAAAAATAGTAAAACACTGGGGCACCTGGCAGGCTTAGTAGGTGGAGCATGTGACTCTTGATCTCAGGGTTTTAAGTTCGAGCCCCACATTGTATGTAGAGATTACTTAAAAATAAAATCTTTACAGGGACAACTGGGTGGCTCAGTTGGTTAAATGTCTGTCTTCGGCTCAGGTCATGATCCCGAGGTCCTGGGATCGAGGCCTGCATCGGGCTCCCTGCTCAGTGGGGAGCCTGCTTCTCCCTCTCCCACTCCCCCTGCTTGTGCTCTCTCTCCCTGACAAATAAATAAATAAAATCTAAAAAAAAAAAAAAGAAAGAAAAAGTTGGAGGATTCACACTTCTTGATTTCAAAACATATTACAAAGTAAAACAAACAAAAACATATTACAAACTACAGTAATCAAAACACTGAGGTACAGGCATACAGACAGACACAGACCAGAGGAATAGAATAGAGAGCCCAGAAATAAACCCTCACTTACATGGGCAAATGATCTCCGACAAGGGTGCCAAGGTCATTCAATGTGGAAAGGACAATGTCTTCAACAAATTGTGTTGGAAAAATTAGATATCCACATGCAAAAGAATGAAGTTGGACCCTTATCCTATGCCATCTACAAAAATGAGCTCAGGGGCACCTGACTGGCTCAGTCGGCAGAGCATGTGACTCTTTTTTTTTTTTTTTTTTTAATGTAAGTAATCTCCCATAATCTCTACAGCCAGCATGGGGTCTGAACTCAGTACCTCCTCCCACCCCGCCGAGATCAAGAGTCGCGTGCTCCACTGAGTGAGCCAGCCACATGCCCCTAGAGCATGTGACTCTTGATCTTGGGGTCACGAGTTCCAGTCCCACATGGGTTAGAGTTTACTTAAAAAAAAAAAAGTTCAAAATGGATTAAAAACCTAAATGTGAGGCCTAAAATAACAAAACTCCTAGAAGAAAGCATAGAGGAAAAGCTTCATGGTATTGGAATTGGTAATGATTTCTTAGATATGACACCAAAAGCATAGGCAACAAAAGCAAAAATAGACAAATAGGACTATATCAAACTGAAAAATGTTCATGCTTAAAAGGACACAACAGGGGCTCAGTTGATTAAAGCATCTGCCTCCAGCTCAGGTCATGATCCTGGGGTCCTGGGATCGAGCCCCACATTGGGCTCCCTGCTCTTTGGGGAGTCTGCTTCTCCCTCTGACCGTCCACCCCTGCCCCCAGCTTGTGCTCTCTCTCTCTCCCAAAGGAATAAATTAAAAATTAGAAAAAAAAAAGGGGGAGGGACACAACAAAGCGAAAAGTGACCTACGAAATGGGAGAAGATATTTGTAAATGATCTATCTGATAAGAAGTTACTATCTGGAATACATAAAGAACTCCTTTGCTGGATGGTTTGGCTATGGGAAAAAAGGTTTGGATACTTTGGTATACGGCCTCAATGTGCTCATCTGTAATAGTCCTTAATCATAGGGACTCCTGCGTAAAGCTCTTAGGATCTTTCCCGGCCCAGGACTCAAGGAGTGTTTGCTGCTGTTGCTGTTTTGTTGTTGTTGTTGTTGTGGTTGAAGAGGGCTCGGGACTACGAGGCAGGTTCGCACAGGTTCCAATCCCAGCCCTACCACCTTCTAGCTGTGTGACTTTGAGCCCATGACTTAAGCTCTCTGAACCTGTGTCACCATCTGTTAAAAAGGGGAAGATGGTGACAACAAGCATAACTATGTCAGAAGATTGTTGCTAGGCCGGAAAGCCATGCACGTGAAGCTCTCAGCACAGGGCCAAGCAAACGGAAGCGCTCAGCCCATGGTAGCCAGTAACTGCTTTTAAGCATTTCCTGACAGTAAGAGCCTTGTTTTTCAAGGGCGGGGCAGGTGTGACCTTGCTGGAGTGTGGGTACGCAGTCACCTGAAGGAGCAAAGAAGCTATCCTTAGCTGTTCTTTCCACTGGAGGGTGTGTTCTTCCCAGGCTGGGAGAAGCTGTGTGGCACACACCTGTGCATGAGTCTGGGGCAGCCTAAGGTCATGGTACGAAGAGTGTAGGGCCTGGCACGGTACTCGGTGCCTGCAGGGTGCATTCCTCTGCCACCTGCAGAGGTTTGGATTGTTACATCTCGCACATCTCTCTCTAGGGGAAGAGGGTTCTGGTAGTAGCCTGACCCTTCCCCAACCAGGGGCTTTGCCTAAGTCCCAGCATGAAATGCACATGGGAATGTGTTCAGCCTGTCTTTGTGGAAAGCCTCCTGCTGGTGGAGGGAGGAGGAGAAAAGGAGGGAAGTAGACACGACTAATCTTCTTTCTGGCCTCAAGGGGCCTCAAGCACTCTCACCCACCACTACAATTCCCTGTCATGAGGTGATATCGTGGTATCATAAGCACGAGATCCAACTCACATCTTGGTCCTGCTATGTGACACTGGGGCAGTCCCTTAACCTCTCTGATCATCTTCTCTGCAAAATGGAGTTTTGTAACTGGACCCACCTTGGACGTTTATACCAGGTTCTTAGCATGGGAACTGGAATAGAGTTAGTGCTCAGGAAATGGGACTTAATACTATTAGCCTTAGAGGATTTTGTAGCACCAACTTCTCCACTTTCCTCAGACCCAACAGGAGCAGTGCCAGTTCCTCTGTTTCATTCTGACCCCAGAGAACCCACACAAGAGGGACTTAGCATTTTGTTGGCCATGTCTTCCCTTTCCTTGGGCAGCCATCACCCATGTGGAGGCTAAAGGGGAAGACCCTTTCATCAGGCTGATGTGGGGTCCTGAGCTAACCTTACTTTCTCCCCCAAGGCTCTCCCAGCCTCCACCCACCTCTTGGTGGGCACTGAGTGTCTGACAGCCCAAGCAGCACTGTCCAATAGAACCCTCTGGGACGATGGAAACGTTCTATATCTGTGAGTCACAGTGGCCACTAGCCACATGTAGCTACTGAACACTTGAAAAGTGGCTAGTGGGACTGAGGGGTGCCTGGGTGGTTAAGTGTCTGCCTTCAGCTCAGGTCATGGTCCCAGGGTCCTGGGATCGAGCCCCACGTCGGGCTCCCTGCTCCGTGGGAGGCCTGCTTCTCCCTCCCTTACTCCCCCTGCTTGTGTTCCCTCTCTTGCTCTGTCTCTGTCAAATGAATAAATAAAATCTTCTTTATTTTATTTTATTTATTTATTTATTTGAGAGAGAGAGAATGAGAGATAGAGAGCACGACAGGGAAGAGGGTCAGAGGGAGAAGCCGACTCCCTGCCGAGCAGGGAGCCCGACGTGGGACTCGATCCCGGGACTCCAGGATCATGACCCGAGCCGAAGGCAGTCGCTTAACCAACTGAGCCACCCAGGCGCCCAATAAATAAAATCTTTAAAAAATATATTATTTAATTGTAATGGATTTAGGTAGCCACAGGGGGCTAATGGCTACCATATTGGACAGATGTAGAAACCTCAGACACATATGAAGAGTTGGATGACTTGAAATGATCCCAGGCTGAATGCAGGCAGAGTCAGGCCCAAGCAAATAAATCGCTTGCCCTTTCTGGGCCTCAGTTTCCCCATCTGCTTACTAAATGCTGTTTCAGGGTTATCTCAGTAGCTGAAGGAATTTTCCTGGGGCTCCTGGTTTGGGACAAAACATGGGAGCCCTTCCAGATGGATTTCTTCTTTTTTGGCCCTGGTGCACGCCCAAGGGAAAAGTAGAGAGAGCTGGAATCCTGGAATGCTTGAGCAGAAGCCACCGGGTTAGGATTAGGCCACTGGATTCTGTACTGACTCGGACATGGCATAACCATGCCAGGGTGGAGGGAAAGGGTTCAGTGGAAAGAGGCAGGTATGGGTTCACGTCAGGGTGTAGTCACTTCCAGCTTCTCCTCAGGCTGAGCCTGGGATCATGACCTGAGCAGAAGGCAGACACTTAACTTCTGAGCCACGCAGGCGCCCCCTTATTTATTTATTTATTTATTTATTTATTTATTTATTTATTTAATTAATTCTACAAGTCAGATCCAAGCCTTTGGAACTCCAAAGCCCCTTACAAACCTACACTGGGGAATGGGGGAGGGGGCAGCAATAACGTGGTGGGGAAAAATAAAACAGGGTCCTTAAAAATAGACATGCCTAATAAAAAAAAAATTAAAAAAAAAAAAAAAAGAATCAGACATGCCTAAGTTTGGGCCCCTGCTCTGCCATTTGCTGGCTGCGTGACCTCAGGCAAGTCAACCTCACCTCTCTGAACCTGTTTACTCATCTGCCAAATGCATGATTGGTAGGGACTACTCACTGAGACCCACAGCTGAGACCCAGGCCCATGAGAAGGTGTGGAGGCAATGACAGAATTAGGCTGAGTGCAAAGGAGGTGGGGTGAGGGTCAAGGTTCCAAGCCGTGCAACCTCCAGAAATAATCCTTTCCATTAAAAGGTGCTAATGAAAATACATACACCAGGGCACCTGCGTGGCTCAGTCGTTAAGCGTCTGCCTTCAGCTCAGGTCATGATCCCAGGGTCCTGGGATCGAGTCCCACATCGGGCTCCCTGCTCAGCGGGAAGCCTGCTTCTCCCTCTCCCGCTCCCCCTGCTTGTGTTCCGCTCTCACTGTCTCTCTCTGTCAAATAAATAAATAAAATCTTTAAAAAAAAAAAAAAGAAAAGAAAATACATACACCACTTCCAAGATCCCTTGCTGATAGGGCTTGCTTGTTGGTAAAGGTTATTCCTGCCACAGTGTCAAGGCCAACTCAGAGCAGGTTTGGAGCAAAGCAAACACTACAGCCTTATCTTGGGGACACAGTGTAGGTATAAAGCAGGAGGCCATAAGACAGTCATTTCTCTTGCTCAGCAACTTGAAAACGAAATGAAATTCCTTGTATTGGCTGCTCTACTCACAGGTAGGCAAGACTCCCCGGTCCCATCCCTTCAGTGCTAAGATCTCGCTCCTCGGGATTGGGGGCCACAGCTAACAGGGCTGGCTGGACCTGGAGCCTTCACCCAGGGCTCTCTATCTGGCTTAAGAGCACCCATGCTGGGGTTCCCTCAAGTCCCCCCACAGTTGGCCCCTTTTCAGCCTTAGGTCTGAACTCAGATGATCCCTCTCAGAAGGGCCTACCAACCCACCTGAACGAAGAGAGACCTCTCTCCTTTCTGTCTACCGTGCGGCCTTGGTACAGGGTCTTCCCAGCACCTACCTTTGCCTGCAATTTGTATCTTATTTCTTGTTGATTCAGTTTCTCTTTTTAAAGCTTTAATTAAATTAAACTAATTATTTATTCATTTTTAAGTAAACTCTACCTCAACGTGGGGCTTGAACTCAAGACCCTGAGATCAAGAGCTTCATGCTCTACCAACTGAGCTAGCCAGGTGCCCCAATTCATTTCCTTTTTATTCTCCACCCTCACAGAAGCATGGGCTCCATGAGAGCAAGGATAGAGCCATTGGCGCCATTTACTGAATGAATGAATGGAATCAGATACATTGGGATTCAGATCCCACCTCATTCATTCATCATTCTTTCATTCATTCCACATTGATGTATCAGAGGCTCCGAGGTTATCAGGCTCTGGGTTGAGACTGAGGACTCATAGATGAAAAAGCCATGCTCCTTGCCTAGGCAACAGACACACACACACACACACACACACACACACACACACAAACATGCACACATACACAGGCGCACACATGAGAAGAGTTGTGTGCAGGTCTGGCCTGTGCAAAGAGCAGAGCTGGCTGGATCACAGACAGAGAAAACAGGGAGGCAGGAGGTTTGGAGATGGGCCAAGGTGGCCAGGCCACTCCTGTCTGCTGCCAGCATGGAGGCTGCTCATAGGGGAGAGTGACCAGCTGCCACCCTTACTTTGCCCTGGAGTTTAATTGTTTTTTAAGATTTATTTATTTATTTGAGGGGGGAGGGGCAGAGGGAGAGAGAAACCTAAGCAGACTCCACCCTGAGCACGGGGCTCAATCTCACAACCCTGAGATCATGACATGAGCCAAAACCAAGAGTTGGACGCTTAACCAACTGAGCCATCCAGGTGCCCCTGCCCTGGGGTTTAAACATATGGAGCAGCTCCAGTGTGCACAACAGATCAAAGGAAGAAAGGGCAAGGTGTGGGGCAAAGAGACGATACTGGCAGCCGATTGAAGGGGACCCCAAAATCATATAGTGCCCTCTTCTCTTTAGGGCATCAAATTTCACAGGCTATGGCTCTGAAAATGAGGTGAAGGGGTCCTGCTTCCTGAGTCTGCTGTGCCAAACCTTGTGCTACAAGCAGACTTCTTAAAAACATATTCATTAGGGGCGCCTGGGTGGCTCAGTTGGTTAAGCGACTGCCTTCGGCTCAGGTCATGATCCCAGGGTCCTGGGATCGAGCCCCGCATCGGGCTCCCTGCTCAGCGGGAAGCCTGCTTCTCCCTCTCCCATTCCCCCTGCTTGTGTTCCCTCTCTCTCTGTCTCTCTCTCTCTGTCAATTAAATAAATAAAATCTTTAAAAAAAAATATTCATTAGATATTTATTGAGCACCTACTATGTGCCAGGTACTTTCTTTAATTGGTGTGTTGATTATTTCATTCATATAACTCATCATATACTTACGGAGCACCTACTATGCATCAGGCCCTGGGGAATAAAAGCCCTGAGGCCTTGAGTTTATGGTCCCGTGAGTGGGAAGCATTAAATAAATAGATGGATACAGACTGCTAGAGGTACAAGGAAGCAAAGAACATAAAGAAAAGTGATAGCAGAAGAGCCACTTGGCTTGGGTGGTCAAGAAAGAGGAGGTGGCATTTATTTATTTTTTTTAGGATTTATTTATTTGAGGGCGCCTGGGTGGCTCAGTTGGTTAAGCGACTGCCTTCGGCTCAGGTCATGATCCTGGAGTCCCAGGATCGAGTCCCGCATCGGTCTCCTGACCCTCTTCCCTCTCGTGCTCTCTATCTCTCATTCTCTCTCTCTCAAATAAATAAATAAATAAAATCTTTAAAAAAAAAGATTTATTTATTTGAGAGAGAGAGAGTGAGAAAGCAGGGGGAGAGGCAGAGAGAGAGGGAGAGAGAATCCCAAACAGACTCCATACCGAGTGTGGAGCCTGATGCGGGGCTCAATCCCATGACCCTGGTGCCCTGAGGAGGTGGCATTTAAACCAAGATCCTCCAGCTTTTTGAAAAGTGAGATGACAAGCATGCCGGGCAGAGGAAACAACAGGTACACAGGCCCTGAGGCAGAAAATAGCTTGTCCTGTTGAGGATGGTAGGCCACCCAGGTCTCCTGACTACTCCATATACTCCTGCCCCATCTCAACCCCGCCATTCCCCACCTAACCCATTTTATTTTATTATTTTATTTTAAGATTTTATCTATTTATTAGAGAGAGAGACAGCGAGAGAGGAAATATAAGCAGGGGCAGAGGGAGAGGGAGAAGCAGGCTCTCCACTGAGCAGGGAGACCAATGCAGGGCTCGATCCTGATCCCAGGACTCTGGGATCATGACCTGAGCCGAAGGCAGACGCTTAACGACTGAGCTACCCAGGCGCCCCTCACCTAACCCATTTTAGATCCCACTTACCATGTTCCAATTTTTCCACCCTCTAACACAATATCCAATTCCCTTATTTATTTCATTTATTGCTTATTGGTTTTCTCCCCCAACTAGGACATAAGTTCAATGATGTTATAGATTTTCTATTTGCTCGCTGATGTATCTCCAGTTCCTAGGGCAGTGACTGGGCCATTGTAGGTGCTCAATAAATATTTGTTGGATAAATAATGGGGACCCCACTGAAAACATATGTTCACACAAAAACTAGGACACAACTGTTAATAGCAGCACTATTCATAAGAGCCAAAAATTATAAACCCAGATGTCCATCATGTGATGAGTGGATAAACAAAATGTGGGTCTGTCCATACAGTGGAATACTATTCAGTTATAAAAAGGAATGAAGTACTGTTATATGGTACAATGTGGATGAACCTCAAAGACATTATGCTAAGTGAAAGAAGCCAATCACAAGAGGCCACATGTATGATTTCATTTACATGAAGTGTTCAGAAGAGGCAAATCCATACAGACAGAAAGCATTTTGGTGGTTGCCAGAGGGGAGATGGGGAACAATCGCTAATGGGTACAAGGTGTTCTTTTGGGGGTGATGAAAATGTTCTGGAATGAGTGGTGATGGTTCCACAACTCTGTGAGTATACTAAAAACCACTGAAATGTACATTTTAAGTGGTTAAAGGGTGAATTTTATGTTATGTGAACTTTATCTCAATAACAAATTATTTTTTTAAACGTTTTACAAAAAGAAAAAAATCCCTACTCACATTACCAGGTTCCTGCGTCCAGCTCTCTCTGAGGAGGCAGCTGGTGGGGTGCGGGGGGCAGCATGGGGCCAGAGAGCAGGCAAGCAGTGAGCGGGGCTCCTGGGCGCTGGCGGAGCTTATCAGGATGTATTTAAACTCTGGCTGTGTCTTCTTGCAGTGGCCGCTGCCGATGAGGGCATCAGCCCGCGGGCAGTGTGGCAGTTCCGCAACATGATCAAGTGCACGATACCCGGGAGTAAGCCCTTTAAGGAGTACAACGACTACGGCTGCTACTGTGGCCTGGGTGGATCCGGCACCCCTGTGGATGAACTGGACAAGTGAGTGATCGATCAGCAGGGAAGGCGGAGTGACCGTGGGGTGGGGGGAGGGCACAACCCAAGGATCTCACGAGGAGGCACAGAAAGGGGATTTGCATATTTGCTAAAGATAACATATTTTCACCTCTTGTCACAAACAAACATGCTCCAAGAGGACCCTGAATCCAATGCTCTATCAAGAGGAAAAAGCCAAAGGTTGGAGATTTAAGTAGTAGCGGGTGCTGCTGCCCTCTAGTGGCAGAATATCGCAACACACGACACCACAGTGAAGATTCAATTGTCCTCTAACTGCAGTGGTTAAGACTCTCACTGCATCTTCAGAATATATGGTTGTACACTATATGCCTGCCACCATTTTTAAATCGCCATAAATAAACATGAAGGACTTGAGTTTTTTCAAGCCACAGGACCAATATCTTCCAGAGCATGTCAGCTAAGTCATCCCTACCTGTTCCCGAGGCTGACCTGCTTCCCTGCCCTTCTCCAGGTGTTGCCAGACGCACGACAACTGCTACTCACAAGCCAAGAAACTGGACAGCTGTAAATTACTCCTGGACAACCCCTACACCAAAACCTACTCATACTCATGCTCTGGTTCTGAGATCACCTGCAGTGGTATGTTTAGTTTCTTGTTGGCTTGTCAACCCTCAATAGACAGGGGAGGAAATAATAGTAATGATATTCACCATTTATCAATCACTTCCTTGGTGCCAGGCTGTGCCTCCTTGAATCCTGGCAACAACCCTAGGCGATCGGTATTATTATTATACCCATTTAACTGATGACAAAACGAAGGCTCAGAAGGCTGAGCCAATTGCCATGGGGCACACAGCTCATACATGGTGGTATTTGGTTTTGAACGCAGGTCTATATGACTCCAAAGTCTCTGCTCTTAACTGCCATGCTATACAGCTTCATTATTTCATAAAAAAGAGCTTAGAACTACCATTTATGAGTTTCTTATTACCTCCCAGGTACTAGGCTAAGCATATATATGAGATAGGTTTTAATAACCCCATTTTACAGGCGAGGAAGCTGAGACTCAAAATAGCTACTTGCCCCAAATTACACAGCTTCTAAGCAGTAGGGCCAGCATTTGAACTCAGCTGTTTCTGATATCGAAGGTTCTGGTCTTAACCACTAAGTTATGCAGAGCTCCTGGTGAAGTATGTTCATCCAGGAAGGTAGTTCTGAAGAGCAGACAATTCAGAGAGGTGAAGGGTATTGTCATGCTAGGCCAGCATCTGGATTTGCACTACTCTCTACTATGCACCCACAGACGGGTCCCATTTTTCAAAACTGTACATACAATCTTGGAATAACTACAATTCAAATCCAGGAGGCCAAGAAAAAAATTACCAGGAATCCCACCATCCTGAGGCACAAACAATTTCGTAGCTCCATGTACATTTGCGCTTATCCTTGGAATAAGGTTTATATCATTGTAATCGTAGGTATGTGCCCACCTCAAGTTCTTTGTTCCTTCTGCCTGAAACACTTCCCACCTGAAGTCTCGGTCCAGGACTTTATTTTTTTTTTTAAGATTTTATTTAGGGACACCTGGGTGGCTCAGTCGGTTAAGCATCTGCCTTCAGCTGGGGTCATGATCCCGGGGTCCTGGGATCGAGTCCCACATCCGGCTCTTTGCTCAGCGGGGAGCCTGCTTCTCCCTCTGCCTGCCGTTCCCCCTGCTGGTGCTCTTTGACTCACTCTCTCCCTCAATCTGACAAATAAATAAAATCTTTTAATAAAATAAAAGATTACTGAATATAAGTAGAGGTACATAATTAAATTATGGGTAATAAAATTGAAACTCATTTTAAAAGTTATTGTTGGGTGCCTGGGTGGCTCAGTTGGTTAAGCGACTGCCTTCGGCTCAGGTCATGATCCTGGAGTCCCGGGATCGAGTCCCACATCGGGCTTCCTGCTCAGCAGGGAGTCTGCTTCTCCCTCTGACCCTCTTCCCTCTCATGCTTTCTATCTCTCATTCTCTCTCTCTCTCAAATAAATAAATAAAATCTTAAAAAAAAATAAAAAAATAAAAGTTATTGTTGTTGTTTCTTTTGGTTAAAAAGGTAAACAAGGCCAAAGTAATGTAATTTCAAACTCTTCAGAAGTGTATCATAGAAAGGAGAAGATGCCTATAATCCTACCTCCCAAAATAACCAGTTGGATATATTGCCCTTCATTTTCCTTCAGTAAAATATCTTGGAAACATTTCCACATATGGATATACTTAATTATTTTAAATATCTGTATAATATTCTACTGTAAGAACATTCTGTAATTTTTAAAATATGTGCTATAAAGTAGAGAAATTGCCTTGCTAAATTTCACTAAGGTGAAATGTACAATATTTTGCTGCCTTGAGTATATGTTTTAGTGTTTTCCATATTGCTTTAAAGTTGCTTGCCTACATTAGCAGAGATCTATAGCTATATGAGTTTTAAGAGCTCATTTTTTAAAAGATTTTATTTATTTGAGAGAGAGAGCACAAGCGGGGGGGGGGCAGAGGGAGAAGCAAGCTCCCTGCTGAGCAGGGAGCCCAATGTGGGGCTCCATCCCAGGACCCTGGGATGACGACCTGAGTCAAAGGCAGATGCTTAATTGACTGAGCCACCCAGGTGCTCCAAAAGCTCATTTTAAGTCAAATAGGACTTCTCAAAAGGCACCCATCACGCGTAGGATTGCCAGATTATACACACGTTGCCCAATTAAATTTGACTTTCAGATAGACAATGAACATTTTTTTTATTCTGCATTCCAAACATTGCATTTATTGTTTATCTGATAGTCTGCTATTTTTGTTAAATCTGTCAACCCTAAATTTGTAACAATGGAATGGCTATGAGATTATTCCAGCTAATTCTTCCCGCCCCCAGACTGGACAAAGCAGGATCTACCTTGGCTCAGTCCTCTCCTCCTGCTCTTTTCCAGCCAAAAACAAAGAGTGCCAGGCCTTCATCTGCAACTGCGACCGCAAGGCTGCCATCTGCTTTTCAAAGGCCCCCTATAACGAAAAGCACAAGAACCTGAACACCAAGAAGTACTGTAAGTGATTGAGTATCCCCCCTGGAAAGCACCATCCCTATGGACTTCATGGCCTTCACCTTACCCTGTCTCCTCCAATAAAGCACTTCGTTGAAAGGCCTCAGGTTTGGAGACTGTTTTATTCTCTGTCTGTGTCTCTAAGTCTCTTCTTAGTTCTTTGTGAGCATCATTCCTTCTAGCCTTGGAAGTTGAATTAGAGGGATATTTCTAGGGAGTGAACACCATAAGACCTGAATGATTAACGATAACTGATTATTTACTCTGTGCCAGATTGAAATGCATAAATATCTTTTGAGGTAAAAACCTACCTCTTTTTCATTATCCCCAGGGCTGGGGGAGAGAGAAAACTAATCCCTTCAACAATATTTTTTTAAAGATTTTATTCATTCAGGGGCTCCTGGGTGGCTCAGCGGATTAAGTGTCTGCCTTCAGGGGCGCCTGGGTGGCTCAGTCGTTAAGCGTCTGCCTTCGGCTCAGGTCATGATCCCAGGGTCCTGGGATCGAGCCCTACATCGGGCTCCCTGCTCAGCGGGAAGCCTGCTTCTCCCTCTCCCACTCCCCCTGTTTGTGTTCCCTCTCTTGCTGTGTCTCTCTCTGTCAAATAAATAAATAAAATCTTTAAAAAAAAAAAAAGTCTCTGCCTTCAGCTCAGGTCATGACCCCAGGGTCCTGGGCGAGCCCCAGTAGGGCTCCGAGCTCTGAGGGAAGCCTGCTTCTCCCTCTCCCAGTCTCCCTGCTTGTGTTTTGACAGAGAGAGAGACAGCGAGAGAGGGCACACAAGTAGGGGGAGTGGGAGAGGGAGAAGCAGGCTTCCCGCTGAGCATGGAGCCCGATGCCCGATGCCGGCCTGGATCCCAGGACTCTGGGATCATGACCTGAGCCCAAGGCAGCCGCTTAACTGACTGAGCCACCCAGGCGCCCCCAAAATAAAAAAAAAACTTTAAAAAAATATTTTATTGACTCATCCTACAGCAAGAGAAAGCACAAGCAGGGGGAGCAGCAGAGGGAGCGGGAGAAGCAGGCTCCCCACCAAGCAGGGAGCCCCATATTGGGCTGGATCCCAGGACTCCGGGATCATGACCCTAGCGGAAGGCAGATGCCCAACGACTGAGCCATCCAGGCGCCCCCCTTTAACAATATTTCAATGAGCATCTGATGGGTGTTCATTAAAGGAAATGGAATATGGGAAACACTAGTACAGTGGCTGAGATTTAAATGAATAAATAAACTGAATTGTGAGTATTCTGAAGTAGCGATTACATCCCAGCAGCCACAGTATCTTCACAGTGCTTTGCACATCGCACAGGCTCATTAAATAATTGTTCAACGAAGGTAGATCTTGGCGCCAAGGTTTGCTGCAGTTGAGGAAAAACCACGTGGCTATATTTACCTTTTCAGATCACGTGATCCTGAGTCCAACCCAGTCATTTCCTCGGCCTGCAGGGATTTCAGAGTAGGAAATGTGATTGGGTATCTTTTGAACACGTGGTCCCCGGGTCCCTTTTTTTTTTTTTTTTTTTTTTTTAACTGGTGAGAAGCGGCCCAGCCCCTGGGCGACCTCGGCTCCTCCCGGGCTCTGGCCCCGCCCCCTCGCGCGACGGCCCGAGCTGGCGCAGGCGCAGTGGTTGATAACGGTTGCTCCAGCCGGCGTCAGGGTGAGGTGGCGGTGGCGGCGACGGCTCCGTGCGCGGCTTCATGGGTCCTCGGTGCGCAGTTCTCCAGGGTCAGGCTCCTGCGGGAAGGAAACAGTGGGCGGGTCGAGTGTGAAAAAAGAGCGAGCTGACGTGGGTATGACGTTGGGGCCCACCTTCCTGCGGTGCGCGTGCCCGTCTGGATGTCTTGGCCCCACACACGCCCCGCCGCCCCCAGCCCCCTGCCAGCTTCCGGTCGGTAGCTCCTCCAGGGCTCCCATCCCGGAAAGGGACGAGGGGGCCGGGAAGCTGGGGTGCAGGGAGTCAAACTGTCGCGAGGAGAGAGGCGAGTGGATGTTGGGCGAGCCAAGGGCTTCTGCGCCCCAAGTCCCCACTTTGAAAGAGGGGAAACAAAAGGTGGAGGGATTTGTAGCTCTGACCTCCGGTTGGAATGCTCTCCCTTTCCCTGCCTGGTGCTTGCCTGTTCATCCCTCAGGACCTAGTTGGGGTCGCCTCAAGAGGTTTCTTGAGTCTTGCCATTCTTCCCTCCCAAAGTGCAATTGCGCAGTTACCCCACTGGGCTTCTATAGATCATTAAAAAAGGGAGTTCAGAACTGGATGGACTGGCTTTGATTACTGGCCTGGTCACCCCAGGTGACCTTGGGCTAATTACATAAAATCTCCAAGCTTCAGGATCCTCATCTTTCAAAAGAGATAATATAGTGTGCAGATCATAGGGTTGTGGGAATTAGGTGAGCCAACGCCTTGTAAAATGTTTCCTACAGTGCTTGTTGTATACTAAATGTTCCATAAATACTGTTTTCCCAAGGGGAAGGAGAGGGAAGGATACTCTTTATTTTCTTTAGAAAGGCTTTATTATATCAAGCAAGATTTGGCTTTTGTAATCTTTTTTAAAAGGTACACAAAAAGGAAATGTAGCTCTGGAGAAGATCCATGCGAGTCTAGTTAAAGGAGTACTCGGTAGAGGCAAAGGTTTAGGCTAATATTAGGCTCACGTTTGCTTACTATGTGCCAGGCACTGTGCTAGGAGTTTGGGATGCATCACTACCTTTTTTTTTTAAAGATTTTTTTTATTTATTTGACAGAGAGAGAGTACACAAGCAGGCAGAGGGAGAGGGAGAAGCAGACTCTCCACTGAGCAGGGAGCCTGACGCGGGGCTCAATCCCAGGACCCTGGGATCATGACCCGAGCCGAAGGCAGTGGCTTAACCGACTGAGCCACCCAGACACCCCGCATCACTACCTTTCTTAATCTTCCCTAACAACCCAGTGAGGTAGCTACTAGTATCCTCATCTATAAGGAGATTGAAGATTAACCACTTGTCCAAATTCACATAACTAGTAAGTAGCAAGACAGGATGGAGGGGCGCCTGGGTGGCACAGTCGTTAAGCATCTGCCTTCGGCTCAGGTCATGATCCCAGGGTCCTGGGATCGAGCCCCGCATCAGGCTCCCTGCTCCACGGGAAGCCTGCTTCTCCCTCTCCCTCTCCCACTCCCCCTGCTTGTGTTCCTGCTCTTGCTATCTGTCAGATAAATATATAAAATCTTAAAAAAAAAAAAAAAGACAGGGATGGAAATACAGGTCTGTCTATATCCTAAGAGTTTTGATTCCATGCTATATTCCTTTCTAATAAATTGAGAAAAAAAAAAAAAAAAACTCTCCTTTCTTGGATGAGATTAACTTTTTTTTTTCCCTTCACGAGGTGGAATTTATCTGTTTCGTGACCTAAAGATTAAATAAAAAATCTGGATCCGAGCACCATCTTGAATCTCAAGAAGGACAATGTATCTGGAATTAACTAATTCAGATTAACTATTCCAATTAACTATTAACTATTATACCCTGTTCGTAGGAGCAGGGTAACCAATTCTTCCTGGTTTTAGCACTGAAAGTCCTGCAACCCAGGAAACTTCCCCAGTACTGGGCAATGTGGGACAGTTGGTCACCCCACCTAGGAGTGTTGTATTTCCTATTGGTCCTTAAATGCATCCTCTCAGGAAGTTTGGCATTCACTGAAGACTGACTCTTATGCGTAGCCAAGCATTTCTTATGGGGATAATTTATTAAGTGAGCTAATGTGTTGTAAAATACTTTGCATAGTGTTTGTGATATAGTGTGCTCAATAAATGCTATTATTTAAGGGAGAGGTGACATAATTTATGACACTGTAAAAAGGAGTATGAGTTAGTGGGAAACTGGTGTTGAGTGTTATGTACTTGTTTGCCTTTGTGACTTCTACTTACTAAAACTGTGATAGCAGAGCAGAGCCATGGAAGCAGTTGAGGAAGTCATGCCCAAAGCTGAGCTTATGCAGTTAGAAGCCTGTAAACCGGGGCAATGACAAACTGATAGCACCCACTAGTCAGTTTGTTATTCCAGCAGAGGCACTTATAGTGTGTTAGGAACTGCCATGCTGGTAAAAAGCAAAAGATGTAAAGTGAGGAGATAGCAGAGTTCCTCTTGGGACAAATTTTTGGGGAGGAATTCCACCTCAGGAGAAACTATGAACAAAATGAACATTCCTAAGGTCCTGAAGACTTGGTTTCATGAATCGTGCCAGCATTAGGTGATAGAGCCTGCCTCCTTCCTTGGCAACCTAACCTGCTCTCCACTGCCCACTGCATCTTAACCATTCCTGGTCTCTTTGGCCAGTTGTACTGCTGGATTCTACTTCAGGCTTCTTTCTAAGCATAAGCCTCAAACAGGAAGCAGTTGTTTAAAAAGAACAGAACTGGGAGGAAAAAGTCTTGGATTCTAGTCCTGGCTCTTATACTATGTTGTATGGCCTTCAATAAGTCTGGATCTTAGTTTCCTCCAAAATAAAATGGGGGCAGGATGCATTTAATTTGCTCTCATTCTGTCATTCCATGCATGAATCTGTGACATTTTGTGGTAGAGAATAAGGATGGGGAAAGAGCACATTCTCTGTGAGCCACTTGAAGCCAAGAGGTTGTTGTTGTTGTTTTTTAAGATTTTATTTATTCATTTGAGACACAGAGATACAGAAAGAGAGAGCATGAATAGGGGGAGAGGCAGATGGAGAAGCAGGCTCCCTGCCAGCCAGGAGCCTGATGCGGGGCTCAATCCCAGGACCCTGGGATCATGACCTGAGCTGAAGGCAGATGTTTAACCATCTGAGCCACCCAGGCGCCCCTGAAGCCAAGAGATTGTATCTTTGTAGCCTTAGTACCTTAATACACTATCTGTCAGTAACCACTGAAATTTATGGATGAGAACAGCTTGAGATCCAAAAGACCCAGATTTGAATACAATTACTGGTACTGACTTTTGGTAACTGAGCAAATCTGATTCAAAGCACCTAGGATCCTCCTCTGCAAGAAAGCTGGAATGAGATTTACAACAGCCTTACACCTCTTCAGAATTAGTGACTATGGGAAAATGTACAGTTGTGCAGATGAAAAGAACTCTGTTGGTTTCAAGATCCTGGATTATCCCAGTTAACAAAAATTTACTTCCTAGGCAGGTGCAGGATGAACATGTATTGCTTTGCCCTAATTTTAGACAAAGGACTATCGAGAATAGGCTGTGATTCTTTCATCCGCTTTACTTTTTGATGAGATTGTGCTGAAAGCTTTAGCCTGGTAAAATGATTCTCTCTGGCTAACACAGTAATGCTGCCTTACTTGGCAGAAACAAATCAGTTTAAGAGCCCACTTGTTTCTTCTCTACAGACCAGGTTCAAGGCAAGTGTCTCATTATGGCAGCTGAAATCCAGCAGAAATCCTTAAGAGAACCATGTCATAAAGCCCATTCTCTTTTAGCTGATTAAAAAAAGAATATAAACGTACAGCCCACATACTTGGTGTGCTATTAAAAATATGGTTCCTTTATTCCTTAGTTAATAAAAAATTCATTCATACTATTACTCATCTTTAAAAAGAAATATCAAAATGTTTCAGTTAGAGACATTTAACCATTTGTAATTATAAATGAAGTCATTTTCTTCTCCCCTCACCCCCACATTAGTGAGATTCCTGGGTTAGCACTCCAGAGACCGTTCTGGCCTACATATTTCCCAAGCTGTTTCTTCTGCCTGGTGAGATAAAAAGCAAATGAGGGCAGTTTTCCCTATCAAGAGCAGCCGCTGCTTTGAAAAAGTCTTTCTTCAGGGTCAAATCTCAGCCACACTCAAACCGGCCCGAGAGGGGCTGGGAGAAAGATGTTGGTTTGCTGCCCTCTACAGGCTGCACTCTGAGCTTGATTAGTTAGAGGAAGAAGTAAGGAATCCTTATGAACCTGAAAAGAAATGAAACAAGTTAATGCTGAATAAGCCGAGAGTGGGTGGGGGTAATGATTGTGAACATCAGCCTACCATTCCAAAAACCACAGCATTTAGGGCATGTAAAGATGGCCACCATATCTTGTTAAGTGAAAACAGGATGTGATAAAACATGCACAGCCTTGATTCGATTTTTGTAAAAACAGATTTAGTTATACCAGAATGTTAAACTTTGGTTATCTTGGTGGTAGGATAGTGGGTAATTTGTATTATATTCTTTTTACTTATATGTATCATCTTTTTTTTTTTTTTAAGATTTTATTTATTGGTCAGAGAGAGCACAAGCAGGGGGAGCAGCAGGCAGAGGGAGAAGCAAGCTTCCTGCTGAGCAAGGAGCCCGATGCGGGACTCGATCCCAGGACCCTGGGACCATGACCTGAGCTAAAGGCAGCCGCTTACCCAACTGAGTCACCCAGGCGTCCCTATCTGTATCATCTTAACGTTCTACAATAAATATGTATTATTCTAGTAATAAGAACCTAGTTAAAAAAAAAAAAAGAACCTAGTTTAAAAAGTATATTAAAAAGTGGGGGGGGTGGGTACCTGGGTAGCCCAGATGGTTAAGCATCTGCCTTCAGCTAAGGTCACCATCTCTCCCTCTGCCTCTCCCCCTGCTTGTGCTCTCTCTCCCTCTCAAATGAATAAATAAAATCTTTTTTTTTTTTAAAGATTTTATTATTTATTTAACAGAGACACAGCGAGAGAAGGAACACAAGCAGGGGGAGTGGGAGAGGAGAAGCAGACTCCCCGCGGAGCAGGGAGCCCAATGCAGGGCTCGATCCCAGGACCCTGGGATCATGACCTGAGCCGAAGGCAGACGCTTAAATGACTGAGCCACCCAGGCGCCCCTGAATAAATCTTTAAAACAAAATGTGTGTGTTGGGGCGCCTGGGTGGCTCAGTCAGTTGAGCCTCCCAACTGTTGATCTCGGCTCAGGTCTTGATCTCAGGGTTGTGGGTTCAAGCCCCATGTTGGGCTCCACGCTGGGCATGCAGCCTACTACTTTAAAAAGTGTGTGTGCCAACGGGGCTTCTTTGTTTGCTAGTCATGTTCTCTTTC